CAGGTTCAGACACCGCTTTGGCTGGGAAATTGAGGAGAAGCCAGCGCACTTCCTGATGCAGACGAGGAATCTGAAACCTTGACACTAGTTCAATGGCGATAGACGGATCCTCTGCCCATGCTGTTCTGACCAAAGGAATCAAAGAGTTCTATATGTTGTCAGTGCATTTTCTTCAGCAACCATTTCAATGTTACGCTTACCTCGAGCGCCGTCTTCGGCGCACCGTGGCTCAGGGTGTGTGCTTTGTGTGGCTCAAGCGGATGAACCCAGACAGAGAGTCGGGTGTGCTCGTTTTCAATAAGTAGCAACAGTAGCTGCGTCTTAGCCTTGAGGGACTTGAGGTTGCCTCCTGCCTGAGCGCCAATAGCATCAACCTGCTTCAAGGAGACGACAACATCAGACAGCAGTCGAAGCTCAGTCTTCAGCTGGAGGATGTTGCTGCCAAAGGACCAACGCGGCGCGGCCCTGAACCAGCTCAGTCCGGCTGACAGCAACTTTTCTTTCAGACGCCCTAGGGCCACTGCCCCAATGGTTGTGCAGACGCGGACGACCTTTAATCCGAAAAGAACAATCTGATATCTCAGCTCGCGGGCCACCGGGTGCGGTGTTGCCGTAAGAATGGCATCAAGAGTGATATCGAGAATTCGCAAGAAGATCTTCTGGACATCGGGGCTGCCAAGGCGCGTAGCGTTGAAGTGGCTGGCGAAAAACTGCATCAGGCGCATGTGCGGCGACAACAGGTTATGAACGTGGTGTCTCTGTTTGGCAATGCCTTCGAGATCGCTTGGCGCCGATTCCCCGCGCAGGAAGAAGGGGTCAGGATGACTGTAACGAGTTAGCTGGCAGACGAGCTGAGCTGTATATGTTAAGACTTACGTTACGGTTCGACTGAAGAGCCCGAGCCTTCGCTGAATGGAAAGCTCCCACTGCTGGGCAATCTCAGAAAGAAGACGGGGCTCGAGTCGGGGATTCTCGTTCATGACACCAAGCCACAGTGAAACACCGAGTTTGGTGGATTCCTTTGTAAACATAGCAAATGGAATGCTGACCAAGTAGTGAACGACATCAGACTCATCGCGACTGCTACGACAGAGCAAAGCGGCAGCTCGTCGAAGTATATCCCTAACCTCGGAAAGTGGAGTCGACTTCTTGCTCCGAAGCCGTGCTTCTACATGGGCAAGGGCGGTGGCCGCATTGTTGCTCTCTGAGGCGGACGACACTGAGGACTGCACAAAGGAGGCCCTACGGTTCAAGTGCATGAAGCTCACCAGTTCAGTGCCACGATCAGGGAGTGTTTCTCCGTAGCGGTACCCTTGACGCGTCGTGTATTGTGCGACAAAGTCTGAAGCCGTGTTGATGTTGCAGGCTCCCACCAAGTCCAAGGACTGCAACCTTTGGTCTGTGGAGGGAATGACGGAGGACATTTCAAGTGCAAAAGAGCGACCTAAGGAAATGTGGCCGTATGCGCCCTCGTCATTGAATTCTGACAGGTATGTCTGGAGTTGGCCCTTTACGTCCAATGGGGCAAGGCCAATGACTCCCGAAACCCAAGCCTTGGCCCTGCGGTGCAGATTGTCGAGTGTCTTACGGCGGAAGTCATAGTCATCGGAGACCTCGACGGACACGCCGCCAAGTGTCGAAGTAAAACAGGAGCGGGGGGCGTACAGGTCTGTTTCGGCCTCAAGACAGCTGGTCCACATGAGGGAAAGGAGCTCCAACAGAGCAAAGAGTGAGGTTCGGTGACAAAGCGCTGAAGGAACATCTCTGATGATACGATCAGCGTAAGTAAATGCCGCTTGCTGCACACGCTCGATCCTGTGACAGCAATTGCAAAGTACCGCGGCGAGTTGTGATGCCGCAAAGGGCGCCGAAAAGCTCGAGTCTTGGCCCCCGAGGGTCTTCCGTAGAAACTTTTCAAGCACCGCAGTAGCAATACCCTCCATCGTGCTGCTGACGTCCCCGCGGCGCATGCTGGGCTCCAGGAAATAAGAGAGTACCTTCGTGCAGTCGCCAGAGTCTGCTCGAAGGCTCTCCACTAGGTACGCCGACTGCAAGAAAATGACCTTCCGATAGCTAAGGCCCTTGATCTCCTGATCCTTTAAGGGCACCAAGTCACTCAGATGCTTCCTCTTCGCTGTCTCCCGCTCTGAGCTCATGCCACGGCGTAGCACAGTGTTTAGCTCAATGTCACTCTCGATCTGCTCTCCTCTCTGTTCAGCAACAAGTGGCGGAGAGTGGATGGCCATGAGTCGCAGTTCGTCTTGGTACTGGATTCCGAGGTCTGATTGAACGGTGAATCCATGGACAACAAGGTTAAACCACGCATCTCTGATCAAAGTATGGGACTCATCATCAGTGGCATTATTGAATGCGAGATCGTTTGCAGACATAATGACTGCGAGAGGTCGCAGTAGCTGCGCGATCTCCTGTGCCGCAAGTTGAAGGTCGGCATCTTTCGTTTGCGATTTGTGCACATCGCCAATGGAGATGACGCTTTCCAAGAGGTGTTCCCAGTATATGTCATACAATGGCGATCCACGTCGGAGGTGGGTAGAAAGATGCACCCGAGCTTTCATGACCTTGAGTTTTTGTTAGGGAGTTGCGCAAAACATGCAGGATGAATGGTGTCACACTTACAGCATCCAGGAGGAAGCCCTTATCGCTGGAGACTCCAAGGTGGGAGATTCTCGAGTACATTTTCAACAAAGAGCGGAACTCAAGTTGACCCCCCTTCAATGCCAGTGCCGCGGCGCCAATGATGATTTGAGCATCGACACGAGGGCTGATCTTGTCGATCTTCTGTAAGAGCATGGACTGAGCGAGAGCGGTGATCTTTTGGTCGTTGCATGCAGCCGCAATGCCGCAGACGGCTTGAACCACATTGCCCCAGACAACGGCGGTTTCTTCTTCACCAGTAATTTGAAGAGATATACTGCTTCCCATGGAATGCCGTCCCGCATAAACGGATGTTGGGCCGTCCTGGCTCAAGTCGTTCATTGTACCGTTGGCAATCGCACGATCTGAGCCGGGGCTCAAAACATTACCCAGGGTGTAGAGTGTTGTGATGACGGCATCCTGTGACAGCTTCCGAAGCACAAATGCCAAACTCTTAGACGCAATGGTGACAGTCTTAGAATCAGGCGCCGTCTGTACGATGAAGCGTGGCAGCAGACGACTGACAGTATTGGCGTAGCTTGGCGTGATTCTGCATGTAATGGCCATTGCCCGAAGCACGACCGAAGCCAAGGTTTCATCGGCCATCTGGAGCGGGTCGGCGAGTGCCTCCTCAAGCCAAGACATAATATTGTCAGAATCGGCGACGTCTTCGTTAATAAGCGAGCAATTGAGATAGCTGATCAGGGCAGCGGATTTTACAGCAAAAGCCAGCTCTTGCTCGCCCACGGATCCGAGTCTCACAAAATCGGCACTTGCTTCGAGGTAATCCATCTGGTTCAATGCCATATTCGCATAACAGTCCAGGGATCGTATATCGACATCGGCAGCAAGCGAAAGCTCGGGCTGCTTGGTGCCCGACATGTGGACATCAAGGACATGCGTGCTTCTCAGTGTAGTGGCATCGGTAGTCAGAAGTGAGGTAGCAGCCACAAGAAGCCACATGAAACTCCTCTGCAGAAGCATCGCGCCAAGTGGTCGGCCAATGACAGAATAGTGGCGAAGAGTGCGCTTCCACTCCTTCGTGTGGCGATCTGGCGAGTGCGCATTGCGGATCGTGGAAAAGGCCGTTTCAGCTGCGATGAGGAACGGTTCAGACAGGAGTTCCTTTACTCTTTGGATCAAGGCTAGTCTGCCTCCAGCACGCCAGAAGTCGGCCTGAGCTGCAGCAGCTTCCAGGAAACCCAACAAAGAGATTGCAATCGTGGCCGTCTGGATGGCGTTGTCCAAAGTTGGGCCTTCGGGAGGATCCGCAGACGTAGGTACGATGTTTTCAGCAGCATGACTGCAAGAATTAATGAACGCCCAGAGACTGTCCGAGACTACCTCCTCCAGTGCATCGTAATTTGTGCCGAGAGACAGCAGGGCTGCGGTGACATGAAATGCCAAGGCCTCAGTAGGAGAGGGATCGATTTTCTTGAAGAATGGCGAGTGAACAAATGCCTGAACGTGAGCTTCGAGTATATAGGGGACAAGTTGGTTGGCCAGCTTCTGAGCACTTTGGCTGGTTTTGATTGACGGGGCGGCTTTGCAGAGGGCGAGAAGGACTTCGAATTCGCGGATTGTCTACGTCGAAATAAGCTGTGAATTCAATAAACAAAAGGGAGAGATCCTACCATTGGCACCCGTCCAATAGCGACAGCCTGACTAGAAGAATAGCCATTAGAGCTTCTGCCATGCGGGGGGCACGCCTTGCATAATCTGTCGAGATCAGATCTGTCGAAAGAGGTAGTCGAGCTGGCGGCAGACAATGCAGCGATCTTCTGCAGTGCCTTAAGCCTGATATCGCGCGACATCTCGAGAACCAAAAACCTCTTGCGAGGCCTAGATGGACAGGCGCTGGGGTTCCGATATGGATACGGGGAAATGGCAATGGTACGCCCAACTTGTTTTGCTAGACTGGCAAGCTTGTGAAGCCATCGCGAGGTGACCTCCTGCAGGGTGACGACTGGTGGATTATGTCTCCACTTTTCTATCTTAGTCATCGCAGCTTCCCCGTAGCTTCCACCTTAGCAAGGCTGCCAGCTTGACGCGTGCTCAGCTTCAACCTCACCTTCCGACGCATCTACCCAGACTTGTCGAGCAAACGCTCCCAATCTCATCGCAAGCGCTTCCACACCGATCCAGTGACTACATTCAGCACAAATAACGCCTCCCGACACGCAACTGGTGGGAAACTGCACAATGGCCGCAATGTTCAGCCAAAACCCCCTGATGAATGGGCCCAACTACTCCTTCTCCGATGCCCCCAAGTCCGCACACGGCGAGCACAGAGAGCACCGCTTCAACCCGTAAGACAGGCCCATGACTTTCTGGACTACGTAAAGCTAACATCTTCAAGATACACCGATAACGGCGGCTCTACGCTGGCCATCGCCGGAGCCGACTTCGCGATCGTGGCCGGTGACACCCGTAGCACATCCGGATACAGCATCAACTCTCGATACTCTCCCAAAGTTTACAAGATTGGCGGCACAACATCTAACCAGGATGATGCGACCATTCTCCTGTCAGTCGTTGGCTTCGCAGCCGATGGCGAGGCTCTCAAGGAGCGGCTGGATGCCATCTGCAAGATCTACCGTCACCGCCACGGCAAGGCCATGAGCGTCACGGCGTGCGCCAAGCGTCTCTCTACGATACTCTACCAGAAGCGCTTTTTTCCTTACTACGTCTACGCCATTCTTGGCGGCCTCGACGAGAAGGGCGTCGGCGCCGTCTTCTCCTACGACCCCGTGGGCAGCTACGAGAGGGAGCAGAGCAGGGCTGGCGGTGCTGCTGCCAGCCTGATCACGCCCTTCCTTGACAATCAGGTCAACTTCAAAAACCAGTACGTCCCGGGCAGTGGCGTTGGACACGAGCTGAAGGAGAGGGAAGTGGTGCCCTTGGAGCGCAAGGAGGCCGAGATCTTGGTCAAGGATGCGTTTGATGGCGCAGTGGAGCGTCACATTGAGGTCGGTGACGCGCTGCAGATGATGGTCATTACCAGCAAGGGCATTGAGGAGATCCTGCTACCCCTGAAGAAGGACTAAAGGACTGGGATTTGACGACGTAGGAGACTTGGGCAGCGTTGTACAACAGCACGAGGCATGTAGTAAATCAAACGAATAAAGCCAGACTGAGAAAGCTGCACCCATCAACAAGACCAACGAGCCTGGGGCATTCATAGTACATCGCACCCGGCCATTTGGATGTGCCGAGTATTGAAACGCAAGGCTATGCGGCACACCTCTTGACTGATAGTGGCGAACACATGGCGGTTCCCGGGGCCAACCCCAAGCACAAGCCTCAAGGTCCTACGAATGCAGCATTGTCGATCCTGGTCGAAGTCCTCGTCAAGTAGTCAGGTTGCGAATTGTCAATACTTCTTAGTCGCGTCAATAGCTGCAAGGGAGGTTGGGAAGACAGCCCTCACATCGTCAGCAGACCAACAAGTACAGGGGCATCTTTCCAGGGGTTTGCACTCGGCTACGCTCATTCCGTGCGGACCATCTGCAACCGGTAAAGGAAGCAAAGAGCATGAAAATGTACTGGTTCGATTACCCTGCATGAGGTGCTGAGCCTACAAGGGCAGGCTGACAAAAGCTCATTGGTCCCCATGTTGATGGGTTACCATGTTTGTCTTGTGGGAATACTCTCCTCGCAGGCTCACGGAGTCCTCCGGTCCTCGCCTCCCCCGTCAACGGCTCTACGTGCTCTTACATCCCTTTGCGCCGTAATTACAAGGCTCCCTGTGCGAACGAATCCGAAGCCATGGCCTGCCTTCTCCTGGAGCATGCATTGGACCAGGCAGGGGCCACGAAGGGGTGTAACCAGCAGTAGCCTCAATTGAGAGCCCGGCAGTCTGGCTCGAACACATCATTGGGCTGTAGTATGCTGCATGTCATCTGCGCTCGCACTCGCCGGCTCAAAAGCCAGATTCACTTTGCCCGTCATCCACCTCTGCCCATGAAGGCCAAGCGAGCCTGTGTGTGCTGATCCATTCGTCTGCCGGCTCGTCATTAAGCATAGCTGACCAAAGTATACGCTGGTAGTCTGTCAAAGTACCGGAAGACTCATTCGAACCGATGCCCCCGGACCAGTAAATTTGACAGCCTCACCCTTCCTGAGTCGAAACCACGCGTGTAGGCGTTGCCGGAGCTAAAATAAGATTTTCTCGCCACGTCGGTAAAGCTGCCCAGGTTCCAGGTTCCTCCGAGCACTGAAAATTCGTCACCCATCGTATGTTTTGGACAAAAACTGGAGGTAGAGTTGTCGATCTTCTTGCCGCTTCGTCGTCAGACGGCTTGATGGCCCTGTCGAGGCTGTGAGCAACCGCCACAGGCTTGTATACCCCACCTTGAATTCCAAGACACGCTGTGGATTCCGGCCGCCACTGGACTTGGGGTCCCGTGTGGCTGTGCTGCAGCGGCACAGGGGCCGAAGAGGCGAACTGGAGCTTGAACTACCAGGTCGGGAACCACATGGTCCTAACTTGAGAGGCGAGCCAGGGATCCCGGGGCCATCAGAAACCGCTATGCTGAAGCTCATGTGTTTGTCATTGCTGACAGCCGTTATTCTCACCTGTAGAGACTCGTTCATGATGCTACCTAGCGTGGAGAGCTCCTTCGCCCACTCAGGTCGAGTTCTTGATGTGCAATGTCTCATCGGCAGAGCCGCGTGTGTTTCTTGACTAGGCAGGCCTGCTGAGTTGGCAACCCTGATTCCTTGTCGCGGGCCCAAGGTGTTGTATCGAGGTTCCGCATTATCTCTTCAAGTTTGTGTGGGCAAGCTGCCGGAGTGATTCGATCATATTACTGGCGCGCTGGACCAAGTTGCCTGCCAATAGAAATTTACACAACTGGCCACTGGCGACCGACACCCGCTGGCCCCGTCAGCTGCACAGGGGTTTTCCCATTCACCATTTCATCATTCCACGGGATTTTGGCGTGGGTCCAAACCTTTTCGTCGAACGACGGCTCCCAGAAGTATCGAAGATCAGGAGCGTAAAGGTCAATGATCGGCAGCCGCCGGCCTGGGCCCCGCGCACCAAGTGGCAAAATTGACCAGATGTGCCGAGCATTTCGCGCAAACCGCTCAGTGGTTCGCTTTCATCCGAAATTCTTGATGCCCACACGGCTTTGAAGGGGCCGCGCACGCATTCTGATCTGTACGTCGTAGGAGAAGCACCGAGAGAGCGCTCGGCTCAGGGAAGCTGCCTAAAGGCCGCCATGCCGCTCTAGTAGAGGGCAGCTTCTCCGGAATGTATCTGCCGGAGTAAATGCTCCGGCCCGGGCTGGAGAACGCCAGTGCGCTTCGGAAATTGGATCGCTCAGGGTCACTCATACGTGGGGCGTAAGACCAAAATTCCAGCCTCAGATTTCTTACAGTACGCAGGTAGAGGAATGAACGTGAGCGCCAACGTATCGCCTCAATGTTTCCTTTCGTGGTCAGATTACAGCTGTTCTAAGTCACTTTATCAATTCAATTTGCTCGATGAACAAGCGGGCGTCGCATGCTGAGGTACGGTGCCTGTGTCCTAGTTGTGGCATCGTGCTAACGCCGTCGAATGGTCCGAGCCTCGGAAGATGGGGAAAGGGGACTTCGTCAACGAGAATCGAGAAAATGCCACAATCCCATGGTTGACGAACCCTCAGTCAGGCTTCAGTGCCAGTCTAGCCTCCACACCACACCCACTCACTCCCCGACTAGCCCACCTGCCCATGACCGGCACCAGCGTCAACGAGCTGGGTTTGGCAGTGGCAATATGCCTTGATCGGGATAGCAAGAAGTGTCATCCGAGCGTGTCCAGAAGCTGGTCCATGGCCGTCTAAACTCCACCCAACACAACCTTTGCCATGCAGTTCTTCGGCTCGTCGCCACGCACAGCTTAGGACACACTGGGAGCCAAGCCCCCTAATAAGGTGTGGGGGGAGGGGAGAGGGGGTGTGGCTACGAATCGAACCCTGAAGACCGTTCGCGTGCTCATCCCTGCCGATTGTTTCCCATTCAAATTCACCGATTTGGTCTCGTACGGGAAGCCCTTCCATCGAAGTCACATTGGTGTAGCATAGCTAGCCACTATGGTCGATAAGCAGCGACTGGCTGCAGCTCGAGCGGAGGGCCACCTTTTTGACGAGATGATTTCTTCTTCGAGTCGGTTCGATGCATCCGCGCAGCGACGGAAAGGCGCATCGTGATCGCCCAACAGGTACAGCCTGAGTCTAGGTCGCGGTCTTCCAGCATGGGGGTTCGAGCAGTGCAATGGGTAAGGGAAGCGCTCGGGCGGTCAGCGGTCTGGACCACGACCGGCCTTGCTCACATGGTTCCCTTCGCCCAGCGAGAGACGTCCCTAGGAATCGAGCGACAATTATCGGACTACATCTATTACATGTGCAAGCTTCTCACCGATGAGCATCGTCGCCGGCTCTTGTCCGGAAATCTTG